AACTGATATACTTCAATGCTAGATTCAATGAATGAACAACGCTAGGAGTCTAAAAAAATATGAGAATATTGAGTCTCAATTAATGTTCCTGTAGCTCTACATACAGGTGTATTATCAATAATTACTTGATCTACTTTATTTGAGCCTATGCCCATATTATACTTATTAGCCTTCTGTCTATCCCCATCAAAGAAATTAACATTGAGATCTTGTTACAAATTAGATAGTGTTGCTTTATTATAACCATCCACAAACAATTCATCAGCTGATAGCAAGATATCAGAAATTAAGGGATCCATGTTATCCTTTAAAGCCTCTTTCTTCAAATTTCCATCATTTAGTATCTTGTATATGATATAAATCCAAGAGCTTATCCTTAAGATACTCAAAAAATTTCACTATTGTGAAAACAAAAGTTCAAAATATGCCTAACGCATAGCTTATATTATGTAAAGCATATGATTTACATAATGAGCCATGCAAATGTGGCTCATGGTTGATTATATATAAAAGTGTTGCGGCACGCCGCACATCAAATTGCACAATTTAAAGAATGCTCGAGACTAAGTGTACTCAGAGCACGAATAAGATAATACTAGGGTGAGTTGGATGAAAACAAAATTCACCATACTCAGCTAAATTGAAATATAGGGAAAAGGAAGGTTATAAAGTATTTAAATAATATTAAAATATACTTTAAACTCATCTTTGATAACAACAAACAACCAAAAATTAATACCCACACAACACTTAAACTTTACCACCTAAATACTTCCAACCAAAAGTCCCTTAAATAAAGGTTTAAAATTACACAATTAGATATTTAAGCATTTTCTAATTGAAATATAGGGAAAAAGAAGGTTATAAAGTATTTCAATAATATTAAAATATACTTTAAATTCATCTTTGATAACAACAAACAACCAAAAGCTAACACCCACATCTCTTAAACTTTACCCCCTAAATACTTCCAAAAAAATAAATCCCTTAAATAAAGGTTTGAAATTACAAAATTAGATATTTAAGCATTTTATATATCTATAATTGTTTAATATAATGCGAAAGAGATTTTTAGAATGCGGCAGGATTTTTTTATTTTTTTTTTTTTTTGTAATTTATTTGTATTTATTGATTTTATGTTGGCTAAATTGAAATGAGCCAGCTTGAATTATTAAGCTAGAATGAAATCAAATAGCTCAATTCGAGCAAGCTCATTTTGATTTCAAAACAGATGAAGCTTGATTCAATTTTGAGCCAAACTAGCTCAAAATTGAATACAAGCCACGAGCCAATTTTGAGCCGCATTTAAACCATTTGAGTTGATTTCTAGCCGACTTCGGCTCCGCTCAAACTCAGATCGTTCCTAGCTCTATCACAAGGAACACCTCATTGCATAACTAAAACAATTAAGGTATAAGTGTCTTTCTTCAGTTGTGAGGTAAAAGTTTGAAGGCATTTGGCATACGCTTCATCCTGAAGTTTGCCTCAAATTGCACCACTCAAGAAGATGTAGCAAATATGATGATGTTATTTCACACGAAATGAGTGAAAAAATATATATATATGCATTTTCTAAAACAAGTTTTCAATCTAAAAGCAACCAAATAAATTGTAATATGCATATGACTTCAGCAACAAGTCCTCAACAAATCAAGGACAAAAACTAGGCTGACATCACATTCAAAAGTCTCGCAAGAAAATCCACAAGGAAAACAATAACCAATCCCAAAATCTTGTAGGATCACATCACCTGACAAATTTCAAGCTTATTCGGATATCCTCAATGCTCACCAATATACCTTATAGTTTCTTTAATCAAGGCGCTAGATATGAGACAAGTAAATGAATCCAAAAAAAGAAAAGCTCGTGATTAACCAGAAAAAATGGGGAAATAACAGATTTAAAAATGCTCGTTTTAAAGGATCAAATAGTGTTGTTGGACAGTGCCACATTGTACTATGAATGAAAATATCAAATCCATCAAATAATCCTATCTCAAAAATCAGTTAAGCTTACAAATATTTCAGATCCAAAAAAGGTTACAAGTTCACCAGACAAAATGAATTTCAATTTGGGCAAGGCAAAGTACCTTAGTAGAATAATAATTTCCCACTTGCTTTTTCTCAGCATTGAACCTCACACCCTTGGCAATCATGGAATTGCATCCACCACACCAGACATTGAAGGGCATTTCAAATCTGAGCAGAATGATGGTCACAAAAAAAAATGATAAGTCTCTGCAAAATTAAATAGAACTGTAACGAAAGAATAAAATAACTTATAAAACCAATAGTGCAACATATATTCCTTTCGTCAGGAATTGGTTTCATTTCTTTCAACTCTTGGTATACTGAAGTTTTAGAGCAACATATATTTTAGCAAATGGAAATGAGATTATCAAGAACAGAAATAAGTAGAGATTTTCAGCTTAACCAAGAGAAGGAAAGAAATAGTGCTGTACTACATCTTTTGGCAAAAATGATGTATATTAATGTTTTAAGGAAGATGACATCAACGAATGACAATGATATAGTAAGGACTTAAGATAACAGTACAACAAATTAGCAAGATAGCTAAGAATGTTTACATTAAATGAAATGCATAGAACATCTCCTCAAATGTCGACGTGCAAAATGAATGAACATCAATAGCCAAAACCTTTAACTTTCAGACCAAAATAAGGAGGCAACAAATTGCATATCTTTTCATAAAGAATGAAATGACTACTCCGGGGAGCCACCAGTTAATGTGCATTGTCAGAGCAAATGAACAACACAGACCTAAAAAATACATAGAATCCCACAAAACAACGTAGCTATATGCAAAGAGCATGGAAAACAAATGCAACCAACAACTTATTTTTCTTCTCAGCCAAGAGTACATAATACAAGCATAACAAGAAACTAATCAACATATGTTACTTCAAATAAATTATAAGCACCTTATAATCAGAATACCCTGGTCTATCTTTCTTGCTCTCTCCCTGAGTGCATGTTGACCATGAAACTTGTTTAAAGAACCCTATATAAAACCATAAGCATGTTAATAACAAAAATAGGAAACAAAGCTTATACTAAAAAGGATATATCAAGCTAAGTAACCACAAGTACCTTTTTTGGACTCCATTCTGGTGGGTAGTAGAAATTATCAGCTCTGGCAGCAGCAAGAGAAGACTACAAAGAGTAACGAAGAAACAAAGCCCAAGTTAGTAACATCGAAACATTGCAAAGCGTGTCCAAAAACGAAATTAACCAATGAGACTATGCAGTCATCTAGATCTAAGTAAAATAACTATTATCACTGTTAAAACTCTTAATAGTAGTAACTTGGTTAAGGAACTACAGAAATTGAAGTATGTGTGTAAACAAATTTAGCCTATGAAACCCTTATGTAGAAATCAAATATGAAATAAATTACACAATAAATAGAATTCCCACTACTACTAGGAATAAAAATCATTAACATGAATGGCTAAGAGAAAAAATTTTACACAATCTACAAAATCCATATGCCTTGATTTTATTCCAAGAATTCATTAATCAAATTACAGTTAAAAAAGCAATGTTTTTCATTGTTTGCCAACACAATAATATAAAGCATGAAAAACTCCTCAAAAGCCTCCATATCATGTTTGATACATGACCCGATCGAAAACTCAGAGACAAACTCCTCAAAAGCCTCCATATCATGTTTGATACAAAACTCAATGATAAACTCAGAGACATCAAATTAAACAAATGATCTAATGTGTCATATATTTTATTTTATAACCATTTTGACACATCTCTTAAGCACCTTTTTGACACCAATTGGCATTGCATTCTCCAATGTTGACCACCTCTTAAACTATAACTTATGGTACTTAATTTTAAATACTTATGAAAAAATGCAAATATGATTTAGCTCATTCTAATTATCACTTTTGATTCAGCTCTTTGTTATAAATCTAAAAGAAGTAAATTTTAGGTTTTTAATATTTGTATATATATTATGCTCACGCCACACATTTTCAAGGAATATTGTGCCCCCTTAACGATATCAGGTTGCTGTCATTATGTCTGTAAGGAGATGAAACGAGAAAACAAAGTGGTTGAAACCACAAATTAATATATCATGCTCACGCCACACATTTTCAAGGAATATGTGCTCCCATATTGATATCAGGCTGATGTCTGTATGTCTGTAAGGTGATGAAACGAGAAAACAAAGCGGTTGAAACCACTGAGTAACGACAGCAAAATAATTCAGAATGGATAAAAGGATTTAAACTATATATAGGTTTCTGAACCCAAAATAGAGATCACAGCCCTAAACGAACCCAAGCGGCACATTTCGGTTCAGAGAATCAGCTTTATGACTGTCAAGCTTCCCCAAAACCCTTTGACGAAATCGATAAATCAAACAAACAGATTACATGCATAGCTAGAAAATTTCCCAGACATCCAAAAATTTAATAAAAGAAATTACAAGATCCAAACCCTAATTAGTATAACCATAACCCTAATTGATAACTTATGAAGTTCAGAATTTGGAAGCGTACCATTTTTTACGAAGGCAGAAAAAATCGGTCTCGATAGCCAAAAGATGCCGGAAGAGATCGGGAGACGGGGAGAGCCGAAGTGGAAGAGAAGCTGGTTAATTTCTTAATTATCCGACGAAACGTTTATGGGGATGGCTGGTCGTTTTCGGCACGAGCTATGCACATGGCATTACGATTTATTAGAGAGAGAAAACGGAATTAAAAGTTTATTAAAACAATTTAAAACAGTGGCATTTTTTTTTTATATTTTTTAAATATTAGTAGGCATACAAAGATTTCAATTAGTTAAAATTCATGCTTAGTGGTTCTTGGTTGTATCAAAATTATTAGTTATTTGGCTTTATCTCAAAAATCATTCATATAGTTCTAAATATATGTTATTGATGAACTTACAAAAAAAAAAAAAATCTTTTAAGTTATTTAAAAATCTTAGATTGAGAATTTTCATTAATAAAAGTTCATTTTCAAATGTTGAATTTAAAATTGGCAATGAAAAGAGTAGTCAAATTAAGTGATCAATAAAAAAAATATATGAATGATTTTCTTGCTTTGCCGATAAATTGGAGAGATTATAAGAAATTTTAATTTTGACTAGCTTCAATTTTGAATTGCTCCAATTGAATTTTATGGTTTGTTTTTTGATTCAAAATACATAAATGGTTTGTATGAATTTCGAGATAATCTGATGGTTTAGATTAAAAAAGGTAAATTGAGAAATATCTCCATGACGAAAAGCTACGAGTACTCATAAAGCTGATCGGCTGAAGAGCTGCCAACCGACGGAATGTTAGCGATCAATATGAAAGATACAATCAATCACACCAACAACTCTTCTGCAAATCCCACCGAAGGTAAAAGACTAACAAGCAAGCCGAAAAGCTAGCTATGGTTGTCTGTCTACCGCTTTCAAAGTCGATAGATTTTGCAAAGCGAAGGCCGATCAGTACTCAGACAAGATAGCTGACTGACTCAAGAGCCTGCCAACCAAAAGATGCACGCATACAAAATAATGTCAAAATTAGTTGCAGATATTTAAATGCATGCCAAAAGACAATAGGATCATGTAACCCCCTATTAAAGCAGAGGCGGATGTGTAATTATTCACATTTGGCCCTCTATCTCTAATAAATAAGGAGGAGCATGTATTATGGGGTTTTTAGCTCTTCTTTCTAGACTCTTATTTTGTAAGGAGATCTCTCTTCCTTTCTCTTGTAATCTTTCAGTTATAATATATAAAATGGGTCATAGAACCTGCAAAAATCTTAGCTTGCCTCTACTGGACAAGTCTATGTGTGTCATTTTATTTCCTTTTCCCTCTCTCTTTACTTCTTTCTCAAGGTTCTTACTGCTTTGATTCTTGGGCATGACTCAGAAGATAAATTTGGATTCAACATTATAATATCACAAATATTAACAATTTTGAATGATCAATATTTTTCTTGAACATCCATGGCTAAAAAATCAATAGTTTAATAACAACTTTAAATTTAAATTTCATTTCATACAATTGTTCATACAAAGTTGTCATGAAAATCACCAACTTCATAATAATGCTCCACTAGAATGATGTCATTTATAAATGAGAGCATGCTCAACCTCTCCTCCTATGAATGTACTTCTTGCTTTTTACAAACCAACTGTATTATTTAAAACAAAAAAATCCATCATCTCTCTCATAATTTTTAAGTTATTTAATTATAGTGATCAAACATATTGCATTCAAAATGCCATTCTTTTTTCTTTTTTTTTTTTGCAACGCTTAACAAAGATCAATTGTGATTTCTATAGTAACTAAAATAAAATGCAAGGAAAATAAAGTCAAATAAATATATTTTTGCTTATTTGACATAATATTTTTTTTTTTTAAATAACTTCTTAATATTGTGTTGAATATGGGCTTTTTAGATAATCAACTCTTACAGTTGTCTTAAATACCTAAAAGACAAATTTTCTTATAAGTGAAGGTTGCTTATAGGTATTTCAACAGCTCTAAGTTCTCCACCAGGGCACCGAAAACCTTTGCTCCACCTCCCTTCCACTAGAGTCTCCTCTTCATCTTCCTTCCTCGTGATAATTAAAACTTCATTTTATGTTATCATCTATCACAAACTTTTCTCGATTCTTCATGATAATGCAAGCTTATATCTCTCTCAAAAAGCTCTTCTTTTTGTAACCTAGAACTACAGGATGGTGGGTCTTGAAATTTTGTAAGGTGAAATATGCCAAAATCAGCACTCTCTAGAATTTCCAATATATATTTGCATAAATGGATAATAATTGTCACTAAATTTTACTTAAAATAAACATTGTATAGACCTACAAAAGTTTATGGAGGCCTGTCATACACATTTTTTAGTCTCTCAAGTTTTTGTATTGTATTAGGTTTCTGTATTGTATTAGAGAGAGTTTTACATATTTTATATGTTTTTATCTTAGGTAATCCAGTTCCAATTTATGGTTTTCTCAAGAGAGAGAGTTTTACATATTTTATATGTTTTTATCTTAATCCAGTTCCAATTTATGGTTTTCTCAAGGCAGAGAATATCGAGTCACACTAGTAGCAGCTGATTTGGGACATCTAAGGTTCTATCTTTCTGCTATGATAGTGAGAGAAGCACATTCCTATTGATTGTTATTCAAATAGAAAGTAGTTATGTTCGACTGAAAGGTCTGCTAGTTGAATTTCTTTCTTCCTACCAGTGTCTCTTTTTAGTTTGGAGTCTTGTTAAAATCTAAGCTCATGATAAATTTATGGAGTTTTGTTAAAATTTTCAAAAGCATGTTAAACTTATTTCAATATATATATTTTTTATTTTTATAAATATTATATTATTATATTTTTTTAAGAACATTTAATATAGTAAAGTAAATATAGAGAAAAAACCTTTAAATTATTTTCATATGAATATTTAAAAGCATTTTAAAAGTATAGGCAAAATTATTTTCAAAAGTTAAATTTTACTTAAAATCATTCACTTGATAATAGTTATTATTGCTTGTTTATTCAAGAGAATTGTGAATTTTTGAGATGTGTGGCTCTTGCATATAAAAAATGTATACTTTAATCTATTATGATTAACCATCATTGTGCACATGCATTATCATGATGTCGTGCATGCTACCCATGATTTTTTAACTTGATAAATTAAAATCATTAGTCTAGGGATTCTTTTGTTGCTTGTGATTGCTTAGTTTAAAAATTATCAATCCAATGATCCCTTGGTGTTCTTTCTAATCATTAAAATAAAGTCATGAGCTTCTGAGGTTAATAATCTTTCTCATATTGATGGTAAAAAATGTGTATTATGGAGCTCATTTTAATTTTAAATTGGTGTTTAAGATAATTAGCGTTCCTCCAAAGTGCCAAAATTAATAAATTATATATTTTTATTAATAATCTATTTTGAATCATAAAATAATTAAGCACATGTTGATTTGAAAGGACTTTATAGTCATAAGGAATAATATTAAAGCAATCTAGTGAGATAAAGTTAGTAATATTCATCAAACACAAATGTTCATACAACAACATTACTATCCTTGCTCCCTTTTATCTAATGTTAAGTGTTCAAGATGTTTTAAAATATATGTGTATTTTTTGTAAAACTTATGCATCATTTTATAATTTTTTTGTATTTATTTGATGTTTTGTGGCATAAAATTTACATAACAAATAAATCTGAAAGAAAGTGAAAAATATAAGTAGCACTATACTGTCGGTGCCTCAATGTTGTAATTGTAGTGCCACAACATTATAGCTTTATAGCCTCAACACTAAGTGAGGGAAAAATGAGCCATCAATTTGAGAGTTTGGTGCCTTAGTTCCAATTGACAACTCTGCAACGCCATCAATTTTAGTACCACATACCCCCATAAGTATGTTACTAAACTTGGATTTGAGATTTACAAAACTAATAAATTTAGAGCGTGGCGCCACAACATTTTGTTTAAGCACTATAATAATATAATTTTGGGCTACAACATTACATCATGGCTCTGAGGTGAAACAGTTTGACCATAATAGTTAGCATATGTTATCACATAGTTACGATAGAGAGGTGATAAGTTTTGTGCAGTTAAGAAAGGAACTAAGTATTTGAAGGGTCTAAATATTATATATAAAGATGAGACTTTGAGAGTAGGCTTAGAGATGGTTTATAAAATGATTTTGAGAAAGGGACAATAAAGTGTGATGCAAAAAAATTATGTAGAGAAATCATTTTAAAAGACAAAATCCATTTGCTTTTTCTTTCTTCTTCTTCTTCTATTTTATTTATATTTTATAATTTCATCAAATGTGTTTGTATGCCAAGCAACTAAGCACACATTTTATTGGATTAGTGATTGCTTTTGAATTTAAGTGATTTTTTTTGGTGTTTTCTGAACTTAAATGGTTTTTAAGTTTGTGTGTTAACTCATATGCTTAGTTTAGTTATATTTTGGTGAAGTGTATGTTGATATTCACTATCATCTAGACCTTTTTGAAAGAAAAATAGTGGAATGGTAAGGTTATTACACAATACTAGAGTAACAACAGATTATAGATATTAAATAATTGCAATATTTAGAGGAAAAATATATTCTTGAAATTTTATACAAAGAATGGTAAGGTTATTACACAATACTAGAGTAACAACGGATTATAGATATTAAATAATTGCAATATTTAGAGTAAAAATATATTCTTGAAATTTTATACAAAGATTAGGAAACTAAACCACACAATTAAACTTCAATGTTTAGTGCTTTGTCATGTTTTGAATATACAAGAGCTACGTGTCATTATATGTTTCCTTATTTTAAGGATTTAAAAAAATTTTCAAAGAACCATAGTGTTGCACAGTAGCAACACAGACCTGCTTGACCTCATAAGCCACGTGTTTCTGAAATGTTCAAATATCAAGTATTTGAACAACAATACAGTGCTAGGTTGTAACGCCGCAATGTTACATGAATTCTATAGATGCTCGCTCAACATTTCAATGTCTCAACATTTCAATGTGAAAATTAGTGTTTATTATTATTTTAAATACATGAATCTATGACAATCTAATCTCGCTACCATGTTTTAGCATGCATTAGTGATACAATGCTAAGACGAGGCACCTTAGCACTTTAGAAGTTGAGTAGGATGTACAACTATGGCTGTAAATTTAGCTCA